AGGATACAGAAGTTTATCCAATTTCCTACCAGTTACGGGAAGCCATCCACATATCGCCTGCCTTCCTGGTGACCATTTTGCTTCTACTTGAACACTTTTCATGTTGAGCTAAACTTAGGCTGTTCATCCCCATTTTTTCAACAGCTCTAATTAAATAACTAAAACATGCAATTATCTTTTTAGTCATGACTGTCTTGCCTTTTTAATAAAATTTTCAGTTCTTCCAGAGGAACAAAGTAGCTGCTCACAAGGCATTGATTATATTTATGCCTAAAATGACAATTTCATGACATTAGTAGTTAAACCATTGCTACCATTTTTCTTTTTCTTTTATTCCAACTTTACCATTCCTTGGAGGAGATGACTTGCCAGTACAAAACTTATGATTACTGTGATGAAGCCTACAACAGGTTTTTGAATAGATAGCAAAAAGGAAGCAACCTCCTGTTTGATGTCTACTGATACTTGAACCAACTTTATTTAGAAATACTATGTAATTACAGAGTATTTAAATTTTGAAAAAAAAAAGTTGTTTTTAAGAATTATTTATTTAATTAAATAAATTACTACTACTATTTAAAAATTTGCTATAGGGAAAGTGTATTCACCAGAGAGAAAGAGAAAGTGAGAAAGCAATCTGCTGGGTCCAGGACTACAAACCGTGGTCAACCATGTGGGAGTCCACCATGCCACTTGCTAGTCCTTTTCCCCAAAAGTTTTACAAAACTTTTCTTTTGTAGTAACCTTACAATCTTATACTGTTCATATACAAATATATCCATACTTGTATGTGTTGATTTAGTTCCCAAAATGGGATGAGGCCATGCTATGGTCTGAATGTTAGTGTCCTCCCAAATTTAGATCCTGGAAACAAGTCTAGTGTGATAGTATTGAGGTGTGGCCTTTGGGAAGTGATTAAGTCACAAGGACTCTACCCTTATAATGGGATCTAGTACCCTTATAAAAGAGGTTCGAAGGACCAGCAGTTGGCGTAATGGCTATGTCGCTGGACTTCCATGTAGTCAACTGTAGTTTGAGGCCCAGACACAGTGGCTTAAACTCACACTGGGCACATGTGCATGCGTGCCCAAGATCCCGAGAGGTGAATGGAGGAGAAGGGGTTGTGGTGTGGCCATCCCCCCCGGGGGGGGGTGATTTCTCACTTTCTGTTTGTCTCTGTCTTTCTGGCAAGCGCACGTACCCTATAGCAAAATCCTCTCCAAATCAATCAATCAATAAAATAAAACGAACAAATAAAAAAGAGGTTTGAGAGAGCTCTTATGGCCCTTCTACCACATGAGGAGGCACCATCTGGGAAGCAGAGTGAGATCTTCCAGACACCAGATCTTCTGACACCTTGATCCTGGACTTAGCCTCCAAAACTGTGAGCAATACTTTTCTATTATTTATCAGTTTCCCAGTCTTAGGCATTTTGTTACAGTAGCCCAAATAGAGTAAAACAGTTACTCTGTATTTCCTTTTAAAAATACTTAAATACTCTTGTCATTCATTCATGTTAACAAAGACTTAATTCATTTTAATGGCTCCATAATGTGTCAGAATCGATTTTCTTCTCCCATTGATCAACATGTATGTTGTTTTGAAATAATTCTTAAATCTAGTTTCTTTATTTTAAAAGATATTAGGAAGATTATAGAGCTCCATATTCTTACTCATAAATTCACCCACTGTCACGAGTTGAATTTTATCCCATCTGTGCATCTTGGGCCCTTTCAGGTAACGTTAATGAGTGAAGGAAACCAGAAGTGAAAGGCAGTAGGGGGTGGGAGGGACTAGAACATGGTCCTTCTGAGGGTATATCCGTGATGCCATGATTTGGCTGTGTGGGAATACAAGGTCTCAAATGACTGTTCCTTCAGGTTTTTCAAGAAAAGTCAGAAATCTGGAATTAGATATGAAATCTATCAGTTTTTAAATGATTCAAAAGAAAAATAAGAACCATTTGGCTGGTTATATATGAACCAAAGACTACCAGTTTTCACTTCTGTTCTACTGAAACAAGTAACGCATGGAGCAGTGATCTCTATGTACACCAAAAGTTCTTAGCATGTGGAGGGCGGAGATCAGATGGCAAGAAATAAGTGCACAGAGAAGTCCAAGTTATGTTTTAAACTACTGAGTTTTTTTTTTTTTATTGCAAAACATTTGTTACAGAAATTTCAGAAAGTTTTTCCCGTGGTATCTGCCAACTTCTGCTTCGAATTATATATCTAAACAAACAAGCTCAAAGTGCATTGTGAATCCAATAATAGACCTTTAGAAAAGAACAATTCCTCTAAGGACTTATATATATTTATAGTGTCGATAGATATGCAAACCGCTGTCTATCCATACACAAAGAAAGAAAAGATGTACATATATTTAGCAAACCCAATTTCAAAATCATTGTATTTATAGGAATTCATTTAAAAATGATATCTGAATAATTTCCCCCGTTATAAACTATGGTTAGGATGTTTACAAATGAGAGGCTAAATTCTATATCATGAAACAGCTATGAGTATAGTATACTGCATGTACTGTTTTACATAGTGGTAGCAGCAATATAAACTCAGGTCAGATGCTGTGGTGGCAGGAAGCAGGTGAGTCTTCAGACAATGCTATGGTGTTCTTTCCTTGCTACCTCATAAAGATCCTGCATTTGGGTTCAGAATGATGTGGCGGACAAAAATACGTGCAGATATCATTCAGGAGAGCATGGACAACCCCAGATAGGGCAAGTTCCTCCCACCCACCTCAGTGCTCAGTGTATTTTGTGTGTACACTCAGTAAGTTGGAATCAGGAATCTGGTTGGCTCTAAATCAGGGGTCCCAAATTATTGCCTTTGGGACTGAATGCTCCTAGCAGACACCTTTGTTTGGCTAGCCCAGTGTTTGAAAACCTGAAGTTGAATGTCTTTGTGGTGGGATACATATTCTCTCATGCCTTACCAATCCTACTTCTGTTTTCTTCCACCAGCCCAGTTCAGCCATTTGTGTCCTGGATTCAACCCCTCCATGTATTTGAGTTTGCGACCCTTCAATCTGGATGCAGACGGCTGGTTCTGATGCGTGGGACGCTATTGTCAAGATGAGAGGGGCTCTTTCGGGACTCAGAGTGGCAAAGAATTGGATAAAGCAGATGCAAACACCAGCCGATTTAGGAACACAGAGTTAGAAGGAGGCTAAGTTGGTGGGAAGATGTGTCCTGGGATAAAGTCTAAGTGTTTGGCTTCTTCCAAGTAGCTGCCGTCTCAGCCTACAGTGCCAGGGCACGCAAGGCAGCGAGGTAATGGGAGCAACTGTCTGTTGGTCTGGCAAAAAAGCAGCTAGTGTTGAACTAAAAGAAAAACTAAAGGGGATGAAGGAAGCTGCACATCCAGGCTCAAGGCTGAATTTCCCCAAGAATTCCGCAGTTCTCAGCAGCCTGTCTCCTCCAGAGGAAGGCTGGGGTCATGATTGGCGTTGGCTCTTCAGAAAGCACATGGACTTCTAGCCATACACATGCTTTTTCCACATGGTGCAAATGCACAGTGGGCTGGAGCAGGAAGGTGGCTGGTAACTAGGTCAGTGAGGGAAGGGAAAATCCACCTCATCCTTAACTGTCATCAAGGTTACTTGGTCACTGAGATCCTCTGTTATGCAACACATGGAAATCGTCACACTTATTTCATTAGCACGAGAAGTGCAAGGGAATAATCAGAGAAAAGGGAACACAATAAAAGTACCTTCTGAATGGATTTTTAAAAAAAGGAAAAGAGAAAAATTTCGTTTATCTTAAATCAGAACCAACCTGTACTTTGGTTGATTCCAATTTGAGTGACAGAATGTTTGACTTGTAAAAAGAGAAAGCTTAGGTCAGTGTAGGCGGAGAGAAAAGCTTTCTCTCTTCGCTTTTTGGAGCAGTTCTTTATAAGACTGCACACTGGCTCCTGTCTTTTCCAGATGTTGAATGGGTTCTAATAATGAAATAGTGACTTCTTCAAAGACTAAACTTCAGTTACCAGGCATCCAATCACCCACCTCCTGCCTCCAGGCCATACATTCACGAAGTGAGAAAATCCCAAGATGAGGGAGGTCATGTCCTATCACTGGACCACTCATCCAGTGACCTGCACACCATGCACTGTCATGAATGGACTTTTTACTCTTATCCTTGGCTTAGCAATTTGCACCCAGTAGCCCTAAAGAATCAAAAATATGTCTTTCATATATCACAGATGCACGACACCTAGACCTTGGTAAACCCGAGTGGCATTAGCTTGCCATCTCTGGGTCCCATAGCTATACACCCTGCGGTTAATACTTGATTTCATATTCGTTGTTCAGAGCTTTAAAAAGAAAGATTAAAAAAACCCCTTGGTTAGTTTTTTGTTTTTAATTTTAGAAATTGAACATGATCCCCCGTGTAAGAAGCCCAACAACTTGAGTGAATTCCTAACTGGTTTAAGCATCAGAGCAGGCAATAGTAAAATATTCAGTGTCTTAGAAAGTCAAAAGAAATGCATAAGGCAGAGCATGCATTTTGTTGACACAAAATTAAGACTGGGTTTGGAGAGAGATTACGTCATTTAAATCACATCGTTATTGTTAAAGGATAGTGAGTTATAATGCAATATCTAGGCCAAGTATATAACCACCTACACACTAGCATCACTGTATCTAGAAACAACATAGTGGTACTAAATGAACATATTTATAAAATACTGTACACTGCTTCCACTTTGGGTTAGCAGATGTAAACAAACAGCTAATTCAACCGGAGTTTAAAATAGTATCTTAAGTTCATTTCTCATATAGTCTTTTGCATAACATGCCACTTTGTCTTCCACGGAGCCACAACTTGCCTACCTTATCTTGCAAGACTTGTTAGAGGATGTACATCAGCTTACACAAATATTTTACAGTGATCTTTACATGGATGGAAAAACACAAAGCAGGGCAGGAACCAAGATGGCCATTTCATGAGGATTCTAAAGAACATGGAATTGGGGACGTAATTCATCCTGGCAACATGTGCTTCTTTATTGAATGTTACAGATGTATCATTGATTATAAAGCTGTCCTGTAACGTTCATTAATACAACCACATGCTACAACTATGCTGGGTTAAACGCGGGTTACATACATGTTTACGTGTGTTTTATAATACAGCATTGCCCAACATATTGAATGGTAAAGCCCATAGATCGAGCATCATGAACGACTGAATAGTAGAAGTTAAACAGCCCAAACATTCAGAAAGGTTAGACTGTACAGCCTCAGAAAGAAAAAGAAAAAAAAAGTACTATCCAGGTATCGACCATAATATTATCTATATAAACCATATTTTAAAATACATTGGAACATTCAGAAGAAACACATCGTGTGTTTTTATGAGCACATTTTTCTCGTTTGATTATTCTTACACATATATTTTCAATGGGGACATTTCAAAATGCTAAATAATATTCTAAACCTGGAAGCTTAGACTTTGAAAAAAAAATCCAGTTCTGTAAAGTGCTGCATTGTGACTACAGATACACCTTTTGGCTTGCAGAAATACACAAACTAGCCAAGACAATTATACCCAAGCTTTTCAGCTCCTCGTGCAAATCCATCAAGGAGGGAGTTCCTAACTATAAATATAAAATCTGTTGGTTAATCAGGAGACGTCCATGGTCATTTTCATAAAACATCCTTAATTTTTTTTTTCAAATGGAACAAGCAATTTAGAACAAATCATTACACATGGCAGTATATAAAAATTGGCACCTTTGAAGCTGATGATTAAACTGAAGCTATTACTTCCTTGAGCTCTCTATGACTTTATTTACGGTTCTCAATAACTCGCTGCCCGTGAGCTGCTTAATTCACAGAGACAGGTAATTAACATCCCCTAGATCAGGGACAGGGTGGAATAAATGAGCTGAGCACAAACTGACTGTACAAGGCCACAGAATCAATGCCACATCGGTGCACAGAGAACCCGGAAATGGAAAGGAATGGATTGAAAAAGCACACACACACATATGTGCACAGGAGAGAAATGGCTCATGAAGTTTATAAAGTTTGTGTCTAAAATCATTTCAATTTGGCTTGTATATTTCACATACTTCACAAAAGATGTTAGAGCATAATTTTTATGCACAACAAAAGAACCAGGCACAAGATCAGGACTTTTACATGTGCAGTTTCCCAGGTCCTGTTGTTTTCTCTCCTGAAATCACGACGGAAGGGAATGCTTGTGTTCATAATTTCTTTCCTCTACTTCCAGTCTGGTCCTGAATGAGGGCCTGGAAGTGCTTGATGTCCTGCTCTATGGTCAAAGAATAATGGTTTCATCTCCTTCCTGAATTTCTCTACAGACTCTCTTACGGAAAGAGAGCTTTGTGAGTGTGCTTGCTACTTGAAAATCATCAAATGTTAAGGTATAAGTGCATCGAACTAGCAACACCTAATCTAAAGAACAAAAAGAAGAAAATCTTGGTTCAAATTCTAGTGCTGAGACTTGGCCTTCCTGAGAATCACAGAGAAATGGTCTCAAATGTAAAGTGCCTCTTACAACTGTATTGATTATGAACAAACATGGTCCTTTTCCTCATTACTAATCAATGTGGAACCAGGGGTCATAAACTCTTTAAGGTTATATTGCAACTTCACATACATGTATGTACATTTTTTTCCCCTGCTGGGGAGAGGGCCCAGAGTTTTCATCAGATCCCCTGAGGGATTCATGACTCAAGAAGTTTCAGGACAACCGATTAATGCTTAGACTGAACACGTTTGCTGAGAGGGAAGGAGGCCATGTGAGGCCCAATAAAAGGCAAGTGTTTCTAGAGTAATTATAAATGAAGGAGTCTGGATGTTTGTTACTGATTGACCTAAATACGAAGCAGTGAAGAAGGAATTCCTTAATTCTTTATATACATGATCTCATCAGTCTTTCTATACCTTGAAAAGCTTGTACCAAAAAAAAGAAAAAGAAAAAAGAAAAAGCTTACACAGACAGTTCCTTTCTTTCTTCCAATTTTTTTTTTAATAGAGACTAGAGGTTTTGTCCATGTATTCAATCGACTTCACAAAATGAAATAAAACTTGGTGTTTACACCTATAACTAAACAAAAGAGCCAGGTAGTCTTTAGGACCAGGAACATTAAGTCATTTTCCTTAAAGGCTTTATTCACTTTTATACATCAGTGATTCAAGGAGGAATCTGACAGTTTAGGGTTGTGATTTTTAAAATTTTAATTCCATTTCAAATCCAGAATTTGATCTAGAAGTTTATGTCTATCTGTATTCTAGAGTCTGTAATAAAACTGGTTTGGAGTTGCATGTCTGTTCAGATTGTACTTGGCGTGCTAGTGTTTTGCAGAAGAAACCAGAATAAGTGAGATATTATAATAGCAAGTGCTCTTGGACAGAAGGGGCAAAGGGCAGTTAGTGAGTCATTTTGACAACTCTGGTTTGGTATGAGGAAAGAGTTAAGGTCACAGGGATGTACAAAATTATCATTTCAACGTTTGGTCTAATAACATGTTGAATTTTCAGTAGAATTTCTTGGATGTTAAAAAAGCTCGGTTATACCTCAAGGTGATAGAAAAGTCCAAGCCTCTTAAGAAAGCTCTATATGACTGTTTATATACTATATATAAACATATGTCTCTGTGTGAATGCATATATATGTATATAAGCAGCATATACTATAGAACTCTGTATATGGTTTATTTGCTTTCTATTTTGGTCTACTGTATCTATTTTTATTTTTTTTAAAAGAACTCTGTCTATAAGAAAAATATTCATGGTATGCCTGCAACTGATGGCTTTGGGTTGATACCAAACTCCCAGTCAGTTTTAAGGTTATTTATGGTTTTTAAACTTCCTTAAAAAGTACTTTGGGACATTTCCATAAAAAAGATACCAGCCCTTGAAAAACTGCAATTAAATTTATGCTGAGCTCAGATTAGATGGCAAAACTCTAGGTATGAAAATATCCACATATAACCATATATTCATATAGAAAATGCTTATGTGATGAGTGGTGTAAAAAATTGGCAGTTACATCTTGGAGGTGTTCAGAGGACATGGTGGAATCATGCAAACGATGAAGATCACACAGCAGCATAACACAGGATATGAAGGGGGAGCACATAACAATATCCCATATGGCAATTTTAGGTTGGTTCTGCCCACTGTTGTTGTTTTTTTGTTTGCTTGTCTTTTTATTTTTTAATCTCTTTGAGTTCTCTCTTACATATTCCGTGAGTGAATTCATTGATGACAGGTGAGATACAAAATAAATTAAAAATATAAAATTATTTAATTACATTCGTCCTGAGCTTGCTCAACGCTACTCGAATGCCCGCTGTTTACAATCAACCACTTCACTTTTGTTTTTAACATCAACTCTTCTTTCATTGGGATTGCAATACAAAAAAAGGCATTTCTGTTCCCTTATTGTCTTCAAAAAAGATAAACAGTTGTGGCACCAGAAGTGAATATATAAGAGACAGGTGAACTAGGACTGTTACCTTGTTTTTCTTTATAATGATCAATTACAGAAGTGTTGGCATGAGAAGGATGTGGGACGTTAGGTAGAACTGCTTGCTGCCGGCTTACACTGAATAAAAAGGATGCTCTTCATCAGTCATCAGTGATGGAGCCAATGTGAAAAGAAAACAGAATGGAAGTTTAGAATATCTCATTTTGTAGGTTGGCTACTTCATTTTATTTTGCAACTTAGCCCTGCATCCTAAAACTCCTGGTAATGGTCAGAAATCAAAGAAGCCTCCTGGCATGGAGAGTGCTTGAAGCCCCTTGGTTCCCCACTTCTCATGACTTTCTGCTGTGACTGAAGATACACATTCATCTCTAACCCTTCTTCTGCCCCTCTTTTCCCCTCCCTTCCCAGCAAGTGTGAACATGCCTTAAATCCCCTGTGTTTGGCACTGGGCCAGATCAAATGCTTTCTTGATCTGCAGCCCAGAAGTCACCTTTGAGTTAATACCTCCCAAAGCATTGCTTGTTTTGCTCAGCTAAGAAGAAAGCGGGTATGATTCAAGAAAGGAGGAAAAGGCAGAGTTGGGAGAATTTTAGGGTGGGATTTCGAGCCTCCTGCAATGCATGTGAAGAAGGTTTAGTTGTGCTTGCTTTCAAAGCTGTGAAAAGCCGATGTTCTGGACAGTCTCCTCATGGACAGGCTGTCCCCTCGGCCCTCTGGCTTGGAGGACTTACTCCTCTGGAAGGGATTTCTCAGGCTTGCTGTGTTTCGTTGCCTGTCGAGTTTGTCACTGATGGAGAAGCTCTTCCTGGTGTGTGCATATGGTGCGGTGGGCTCCTCCGCAGAGTAGCTGTTGGCGCGCTCGATCTTGGGAACTGTGATGTTGTTGGACAGGGCTTTGTCTGTGTTATCACCCTCTTGGGTGCCTATCACTGTAGTAGCTCTCTGGCTTTTGGCCTCATTCTCCTCACTGTCAGAGCTGGGGTGACTCAGTTCTGCTTCTCGCTCGGGGTGGCAGCAAGATAAGTCTTCTGCTTTGTCTCCAAGACCTCCAGGGAAGGTGGCCCTGTCAGCAATTGCTTGCGGGGCATTGACACACCTTGTGTCAATACAGTCTGTGATACTTGTATATTCTGCTGTTTTCACGGGCACCCCAAAGTTGGCATAATAGCTCCTCGAAGGAGAAAACATAAAGCTATGAGATTTCGCAATGGGGGCCTCTTCTAGAAGAAAGGGTGTGGTGGCCAGGTAGCGGCTACTTTTGGAACGCTCAATGGTGTGATACATTGGTGGGTCTGAATCCCAGGGGTTTTGGCATTCTGGGAAGTGTGTGTAGTCTGAAGAAAAAGATCTAGTGTCTACGGAGGTGATGTCCTCAAAGTCAATGCTCCGGCTTGGAGGTCTGTCTGTGGGTGCAAGAGTTGCATAGGCACTACTTGAAGGGGCCGAGGAAGGTACTGGAGCTGAAAAGCTTGGCTCACCCAGCCCAAGGATGTTTATAGAACTATCCAGAGGGTCGATATCACAGTGGAGCTCATCCATGGCAGAGACATAGATGTCTATACACGATGAAGGTCTTCTGGAATCAGGAACCACAGCCAAGGTGTTTGCAGGGGCTGCAGGAGCTTTGGATTCTTTTGCTACAGAATGGGAACTAGTAGCCCGGTGTAGGCTCAGGGACCTTTCTTTAAAAATACTTTCCAACTTTTCTATACCACCTTTGTCTTTCATATTGACTGAATAGAAAGAATGGCTTCGCATACGGGGCATTAAGGTTGGAGAAGTTGGGGACATAGTCTCCTCACCTGCAGGGTCTATACTCTCTTGGAGTTTGAAGGTGTTCCCCTCCTGGCTGTTGAAGCTGCTCTGGCGGACGATGTAGGCTGCATCCGTGCAGTCTGAGGAGGTCCTAGAGCGGATTTTGTTGGACTCGGCCCTCTCCAGACCTGTCAGACGCTCCAGGGCAGTGGCCATGCGACCGATGAGGTCCTCGAGCTGTGCGAGCCGGATGTCCACGGTCTGGAGCGAAGCCTTCATGGAGTGCTCCCGTTCATTGACTTCCTCCAGCCTCATGGACATGTTCTCCACTCTGTGCAAGGAAGAGAAAATGAGGATCATTTGGGGTGGCTTCCTGTATTGGGGGTTTAAAGAGCAAGGACCGAGGGAATCAAAGCTGTGCCTGCACCTTGGCGCCATCAGAGGGAAACTGAGGGATTACAGGTAACAAGAGGGTCTGCACAGGAATGACATTGATACTGTCATTGAGAATTACAGAATCCAAATCTTTCTGAGCTGGAAGAGGCTTTAGAGATTATCTCATTCAGTGATTTCTAACTGCCAATCCCCCTTTCTCTCAATGAAATGCAATGTACAATCCTGATAAATAAACACCAAAGTGGAACAGTTTTTATTGAAGTGGAGTGGAGCCAAAGTCCCACTCTTATACCACTCTGGCATCCTAGCTGTGGTTTGGGGCAGGGACTAATGACCGAAGTAAGTATTTGGGTATTGACTTATCAAAGTCACTGACAAAAATGAGAATTTTGCATTTTAATGACTTTATCCAGAATTTTGCAATAGAGTTTTAGAACCTAGCTATTTCAATTGTGATGCACATGTAAAACTTGTATTCCATGGACTAGGATTGTTTTTATTTTACATTTACACAGTAATCTTTTTTGTCATTATTACCCATGATAATCTATTTAGAATTTAGTGCTTCTGAAGGAATTAATATGTCCCTGTTACTGAGGCACATGGGGTTGATGTTATCTAATCCAGTCCTTTCATTCAGAACGGAAGAGCAAAAATCAAGAAACTGCAAAACCATGAATGCATAAAGTAATTTGTAGTAAAAACTGGGTATCTATCAATAAGTAAATTACTCTACACCTCTTTCTGTTTCTCTCTGGGTAGCTGATCACAGATTTGTTTCTAGATGTCTTCTACCTTTCCCACTGGAAATCCTTGTGTGTGGTCTGTCTAATTTTTTTTTTTTTCTGTTTCCACCTTCATGTTGCCAGCTCAGTACCTGCCAGGTATCAATAAATGTTCTGAGTCAATGATGGTCATGAACCTGATTTTAATTGTCACATAGTCTGCCTGGCCATTTATAAAGACAGAGGTCACATGGTTAAGATACAATTGTACCTATTTTTCACTTGGAAAGGACAAACCAAAGCCACGTCATGATGTGAGCTCAAACTTTCACTTTTAAATGCCCAAAGGCAAATCTTTTGGTGAATCTAAATGAGATACATTCTCAACTCTTCTAGAGAAGATAAAGATAGTTTTTCTAATCCCTTGAATATGCAACATGAATCACTTGACTGCTGATCTTTAGAAGGAAAATACCTGCAGGTAGACCACGGCTACGGAATGTGCTCACCTGAATGGTGGGAATGAAAGCTGGGTTTCCCCAGCGTGTGGTGGTGGCGGAGGTGGTGGTGGGAGGGATGTTAAGGACAGTAATACTGCTGTGATGCAGGAATAGTCTTCAATGCCAGAAGGAGATAAAATATATAGAGGCCCATGGATTCCCTCTCTTGAAGGACCTTATAGGCTATTTAAAAAAAACTCTTTTCCTGCTGGCCATGGGTAAGAGGGTGGGATTTTCCTGCCTTGGGACACATTTCTGCCTCTCTCAGCACCCCTTAATCTCAATTTCAGCTTCCCTTCACACAGCCTAAAGCCCTGAACTGCTTTCAAGATTTTTTTCTTTTTTCTTTTCTTTTTATTGCCATAGGGCGTGCTTGCCAAAGACAAAGAAACAGAAGAGAGAGAACACGAGAGACAAGTACCCCTTAGTGATGAACAGACATACCACAATCCCTTCTCTAATTCTCCATCCCATTGGGATTCTGGGTGTGCATGCACACATGTCCAGCATGTTTTTCAAGCCATTGAGGGCCAGGATTTGAACTGCGTTCAGCCATGTGGGATCTGGTTTCCTTAACTACTGGGTCATGGGACTAGCCCCTAAGACAAATCAAAAGTAAATGAAGAGTTGTGGGTCATAGTTGTAGTCACCAGGAGCTTACTCTAACCAAATAATTTAGGAGATAAAATGAAGACAAGAATAAGAAGTTATGGATCAATAGAAATACCCATAGAGATGACTATGGTTTGAATGCATTCCTCCTAAAATTCATTTGATAAAATCTGACAGGCCATCCATTGTAATGATATTGCAAAGGTAGAGACAATTTACGGTGTCTAAGGGTGGAGTCTTTGGAAAGTGGTTAGACATCTGGGAGGGACCTCACAATTGAGGTCTGGTGGGTTTATGAAACGTGGACATAGAAACATGTGTATTCCTGCTCTCTTTCTGTGTGATGCCTTCAATCATGTCACTCACCAGCAAAAACATCCTCATCAGATACAGCCTCTAGACCTTTTACCTCCAAACCATGAGCTAAATGAACCTCTATTTTTATAAAGCACCCACTTTAGGTATTTCAGTTATTAACAACAATAGACTGAAATAGATACAGATACATAAAATGACTAAGTAAAAAATAGACAGGTGTTGTGGAAAGGAAGACGTTCTATGGGAGGCACTCTTTATTTAACTTCTTCTCTCCTACATCTCCAGACGTTGAGTGACTCATTTTTGAATAACTAAGGAGGGGATCAAAAGTAGGCTACAAGGGAGTCCTGGAAACATGTGAGGTGGCAGGTGTCCATGGGGTGGGTGGCTCCACAGGTTGGTGCAAAACTCAGCTAAGAAGACAACTAACTTCCCAGCCAGTGAGATGAGGGAAAGGACATTAAAAAGAAGACTCTGGGACAGGCCCTGTGGCCAAGTAGTTAAGGGAGCAAATCCCACATGACTAACCTTGGTTCAAATCCTGGTCCTAGCAGCTTGAAAAACATTTTGTAGAATTTCTTCTCCTTTTCTGATAACCTCAAAATGTGATTAAAGGAAATGTGGTAAAAAGGAAAACAGGATTCACAGGCCATGGGTATTCTAAATTTCATTTGCTCCCTGAGAGCTGTAGTGGGGTATGGACAGAGGGTAAAAGCAATCCCATATTGCATGAACTCAATCATGACAGCTCTTACTAGGGAAAAGGGTATACTGACACAGGTTTCAAATCAGAAGCAATGATGTGGAACAGCTAAAGCAAATTCTTGCTTATCCACAGGCTGATATCTAACTTGTGAATTATTAAGTCTTTTAAGGTCACTTACCCTTACCTCTGGGTTAATTATCCTACTCATTAACTCTGGGAAGTAAAAGGGAAAAAGTGTAAACTCAACTCAATCAATAGAAAGATCAAAGATCAGATGTGGAAAAAGTTAAGGTGGGTGAAAGCTCAATTTTTTTTATTGTACTCTTTTTGATTATTTATGAATTGTGTATATCCCAAGTTATTTCACTTCATCCATATAATCAAAAATTATAAGTTGAATATACTCTTTTTTAATTTAAAATTTTTAAGGTTTTTGCCATAGGACCCATGCACTCACCAGAGAGAGACAGAGAGGGAGAGGAAGTGATAAATCACTCCCTTTCCCAGGGGGATGTCTATGCTGAAATCCCTTCTCTTTCATTCTGCTCTTGGGATTTTGGGCATTCATTCACACATGTCTGGCATAGTTTTCAAGTTGCTGGGTCCAAGGCTTGAACTGCAGTTGACCATATAGGAGTTTAGTGTCCTTAACCACCATGCCACCTGCTGCCCCCAAGTTGAATATAACAGTAATCATGTTTCTATCACTTTTTGGATTTAGGTAGAATGAAAAGATGCAAAAAAATAGTCCACTGTCTTGAGAGAGAGAATGTCATATTAAAAGATTACACTAAGAAGGCTGGCTCCATGGTACAGTATTAATGTGCTACTCAAGGGACGTCAAATCTCACATGGTGATTGTGGTTCAAATCCCCTGCACAGTCAGCTTGCAACACACCCAGCATATGTGCACGTGCTGAAGATTCAGTGGCTGGAGAACTGGAGGGAGGGGACGGCACCTGAGCAGACGGGCTCTTCTTCCTCGCTTTCTCTCTGCTTCTCACTCTTGTGTGTGTGCAGGTACTGTATGATGACTATGGAAGAAAAAGAGATGGCACTAGGGATAATACTAAATTCTAGTTTGCATAAATTATTACCATTAAGGAGAAAATAAACCACACTTTGTTCTGACATGTGGAACTCTATGTGTGTGTGTGGGGGTGGGGGGCAGGTGGTGAGGATGATCTGGATGCTTCCAATGGAGATTGAAGTGCCTATGTATTGTGTAACTAGATGGTGGAGTACCCCCTTCCCTCCTCCTAACCCGGCCCTGCTCATGCCAGTTGCTCAGGATGTGATCATTAAATCGCCACTGGTCAGGTGTGTGGAAGAAACAGTATGGGGGTGAAGCAGGCAGATGTCAGACGCTTGGGGCAGGGACTCATTCTGTGGCAGCAGAGAGGATACCCAGCCCTAAGACATTCAGAATGAATTTGAACAATCACTGCAGAGCAACAAAACAGGCCTCTGGGCAGAGGCTACCCATGAATCACCAGTTTGCAAATTTTGCTTCAGAACCAGAAAAGAACTGCCAACTGCAATCACCAGAGAATGTGGGAACTCTTTAAAAACCAATGAGGAGGCCACAGAAGACCCTTTCATGGCTTCTGAGAACTAGTGACTTCAGGAGTCTAGGAGAAAAGAAGATTTTTCCACTGATAATTCAGCCTCCAGCCCTCAAACTTGTGTGGTAGGAAGAAGACTTTGCAGTCTCTTGTCTCTGGATCTGTCTTTGTCTCTCTCTACCTCTGTCTCTGTTTCTGTCCTCTTTTTTTTTTTTTTTGTAATTTTTCCTTTTTAAAAATTTTTAAAGTTAAGCAGTTTCTGGGCTCTCAGTCCCTCCTTTCCTTTTATCTTGTTAATAATCCTCTCTTCCCCTCCCAACCCAGAAAAGGTAAGGGCATAGGCCACAGAAGACCCCTTCATGGCTACTGAGAACTAGTGATTTTACACAGTGTGTAAGCATGCTGTGTGGTTTTCTAATTTTTTACTTTTAAAAAAAAATAACAATTTTTTTAGTTTTTTTTTTTTTAGTTTTTTTTTTCTTGTCTTTTTCTCTGTTTCTTGTTGTTTT